GTTGTCCATAAAACAACTTGGAGGGAGCAGAACCTGTAAAGATATCAAAACATGAATAGGTCTACCGCAATGCATTGGATGGGTGAAAAAGACCCCTCTCTAGGAGCAGCAGAAAGCATAAGCAAGCTGTTTTTGGCTATTGATCAGTGTGCAGTTGGCAAACAGGGCTAAAACTACACAGCTCAGGGCTGTAAGTTGTGCTGGATTTGGCTGGGGTAGAGTTAATTTTCTTCATAGTAGCTACTGTAGGGCTATGGTTTGGATTTCTGCTGAAAACAGTGTTGATAACACAGGGATGTTTTAGTCACTGCTGAGCAGTGCTTACACTAAGTCAAGGCCTTTTCTGCTTCTCACCCCACCCCACCAGCGAGTAGGCTGGGGGTGCACAAGAAGTTGGGAGGGGACACAGCCGGGACAGCTGACCCCAACTGACCAAAGGGATATTCCACACCATATGACGTCATGCTCAACATATAAAGCTGGGGGAAGAAGAAGGAAGGGGGGGACGTTTGGAGTGGTGGTGTTTGTCTTCCCAAGTAACCGTTATGCGTGATGGAGCCCTGCTTTCCTGGAGATGGCTGAACACCTGCCTGCCGATGGGAAGAAGTGAATGGATTCCGTGTTTTGCTGTGCTTGCACACGCAGCTTTTGCTTTACCTATTAAACTGTCTTTATCTCAACCCACGAGTTTTCTCACTCTTACCCTGTCGATTCTCTCCCCCATCCCACTTGGGGGGGAGTGAGCGAGCGGCTGTGTGGTGCTTAGTTGCCGGCTGGGGTTAAACCATGACACAAGTGCACAGAAATATCTGAACTATCTCTGGAGCCGCAGCAGAACAGAGCAGAAAGGGTGGTTTGCCTGGGTGTACAACCAGGCAGCACAGAGAGGCAAGGGGTACCTGCCCCTGCAAAGGTTTGTTTCACTGCAGTCAGGCTCTGAGTTATCTCTACGAATATCCCAGTGCCGGAGCAAAGGTATATGATCACCATTATTTGCAAAAGGACATAATCTTTTGTACTGATTACTCATGTATCCTGTTCACATGCTGTCTTCTAATTCCTCTACATTACCTTTATTTTAGTTGTCAAGCTTTAAATTGCTCCATTACTGTCATTAACCTTTGAGATGCTTTTCTGCGAACTTGTGTCCCTTCTCCTTTATTAACTGTACTTCTCTGTAGAACTGGCCCTCTCCTTCCTACTAGCTGAAAAGACGTGGCACAGGCCTGGTGATCTTTGCCACATTTTGAATAATTAAGTAACATTTCCAGAAAATTGTCCCACACCAGTACAAGTTAGGCGAAAGAAATACAGCTTCTAGTAACATAACCACTAGTTTCACTTTCCTACTTTGTAGCATTAAATACGATTAATAATTAAATATAATGATGCATAACTTTTCATATAGCTCTAAGGTTTCTGATGTTGCTCTTTGCCTGTGTATTTTAAATATGCAATAATAATTAATCTTACCAACTCTGATATCTACTTAATCTCAGCTAAAAAGCAAAATGTTTCTTGCTGTTTCTCTATATTCATAATGAGCCCTAAAATATCCTGAAAACACAGAACAGAGAGTACTTTATTATTTGAAATGCAGCCAGGGTTTAGAAAGCATGGAGGGTGGAATGGCAGTTGCAAACCCCAAATATCAAAGTAACTTTTATGTTACATATGGCTAGGCTTAAAAATCACACTAAACCATGCTAACTAAGCAATTCAATTGAGTAAATCAAATGGTGCATAACTGTGACGCCAGATGTGGCACCTGTCAGATGTCTATGACACATCCACTCCAAATCCTAATAATACTGTCTGGGCTGCAACCAGATGCACACTGTTAAAGGCGCTCCTGCTTGTTGCAGTGCGTTGTTAGCTCCTCTCTAACCACATGCATTTCGGAAACAAAAGCGCTAGGGCTTTCCATAGCAAGGCTCATCTATGTCAGCTATTAGAAAAGACACATGCTCTGCGCACTCTACATGTTTGGCACATAAACAGAATGAACACCAACCTACTCTCAAATGGAGGCAGAGACGGGTACAAGTTGAAGACAATCACTAATTTCAATTAAGACACCGGTTTTCATGCCAAAGACAGCTCGATATCCCCTTCAAAATGAACCTTTTAAATCGCTTCTGAAACATAAACCAAAGAGTTTTACACTCCAGCCATTTGGTCCTGTGCTGGTGTTTTGCACCATAAACTAACTTCATCCTACAGGATGCAAGATCTCTGACAGTAAATCTGATGACGGTTATTAAATTTATTCAGTCACTCTTTCAGAGTGAGCACATTAAAAAAGAAAGAGCTCTTTCTATGCCTCTGCTGTCACAAGATGCTTTCTGTTGTGGTCAGTGAACTACACAACATCGGGGTTCTCCAAGAGACTCTCTTCTTTCCATCTCTCTCTCTTTGCCCAAGCTAGATTGCTAGTATATATCCTCATTGGTATGACGTAGCCACTACTGAATAAACATAAAAGTATCCAGGGACCACCCTTTCTCATAAAACTCTGTCCACAACTCAGTTCCCGACGTCTTCCTTTTGAGCCCTCCCAGGCAAACATACTTTCTCAGGTATCCAGCTCCCACCTTTCTCAAGCTACTGGCCTCATTGCAACACTAAATGCCTGCCGACTCACAGCTCTGAACAGGGAACGCTATTAAAATCCACGGTCTGATATTTTGGCTCCTCTGGAATTTGAGTATCTTCACCTTCCCTCTACCACCGTATGTAATTCATCTTCTATTTTCCACATTTACCAGATGCTAATTCTTTCTTCTTTCTGTCCGATATTCCCTGTACCTCCTCTCATGTACACTTCTCATGCGCGTCCTACACCCGGAATACCTTCCCTGCTCTCCAGGGAGCAGGAAAATGCTGGGGTAGGTCAGCCCTACACCACTGACTCCCTCTACACCCTTCTTGCTTTTTCAAAACCCTCATGCCTCCTGCAGCACACCGTAACAAAAATCAAAATCACAGTCTTTCAAAGACAATACCTACCTCAAATGCTTGAGGTTCTTCTCTTACCCCACCTCTCTCTGAAACACCACCTCTCTCTGAAACACCACGCGGTCCTTCACACACCCTCGTATTAAACCTAGGTAAGTTCTGGCTAACGAGTAAGAGCCACCCAACAGCAGGGACCCGGCCCATTTATCTATTTGCAGATGTCCCTCCACAGCAACATTGCTATGTCCTAGTGCTCAATGAGTTCAAAGGGAAAAAAAAAGAGTAATTTCAAATATGTTCTGTAAGTTAAGCGCACAGCTTCAGCAAGACTGCTCTCAAATGGACTGGAGAAAAGCCTTCAGAAAAAAAAAGCCTATCTGGTTTCTACTTCACTTCACTTTACCAAACTTTTGATACTTACCAAGAAAAAAAAAATCTGTAACTCAAACTATTCTCACTCAGTGTAAATACTTCAAATGGTGCCCAAAGTCCGGGATGGATTCTCCCCATCCAGTGCTTTAATACTGTGAAACTCTGCCTCTAACAGTGTTCAAAGAACTGTGCTTGTATGAGGTTTCACATAACCTGACCCAAACTGGCCTTTCTAAACATGAATATAGAGACTACAGTACAAATAACACAAATTATCCACTGTGCATCTTCTTCCTTAACTTCTGTAATTCATAAACAACAGCAATGTTATGCTGTTAATTATTAATTAGAGCAGATGTTCTTTAATCGAGCACCGGAATTCAGCTCTTGGGAAGGGCTTCAAAATCTGTCATAGAGAATGTAATACCTCCAGACATAACAAACCTACTTGGTTTGGGCGGGAGCAGAGCTTTCCTCCTCCGTCCCACCCAGAGCTGGAGCACATCCCGCGTACGGCGCGATGACCCAGCACAGCAACTGCTGCCCTCGTTCAGGTACTGCCTCTGCTGCTGCCATGGGCAGCATCAGCGCTTGGGGGTTCACATGATTTGGAAAGCGAGAACATCTTTACTGTAAGATTCAGGCCACAGATAAAAAACTGAAGAGATACCTAGTGCAT